GTACACTTTTCGGTACTGTACATCTGCAACACTATACAGTACTGTACTAATTCAGCACAGTGCTGTATAGAGTTCCTCACTCAACGACCAATTCGTTTGACGACCTGGTCGTAGGAACGGAACTCGGTCGTTAAGTGAGGAATACATGTATTAAAGTGTCTGCAGCCGAACTTGGATTTTGCTCTGGATAGAGTAGAGAGGATTTAACTATATGCATAGCATACAAGGTGAGTACAATGATGCCCAGATCCAGTGGCGTAACAACCGGGGGGGCGGCCGGTGTGCTGGCCCCGGGCGAAAAGATGAAGGGGGGCGCCGCCGGCCGAAAATTGCACTTTTGGCTAAATGCCAAAAGTGCAATTTTACTGCCGTTTTGTGATTTCTTTCCTCCCCGCTGGGCGCTGCTCTTTACCCCAGCAGGGAGGAGAGAAAGTGAGAGCCAGCCGAGCGCTGCGGGAGGAGACCGCCGCGATTGGCCGGTGTCTCTCCCACACCGATCAGCCGCCTATCACAGTCCGGCAGAGCGGTGTGGAGGCGGAGACAGCGTCACAGGAGGCTGGGCTTTCCTTCCTACACCGCTCGCTCAGCCTCCTGTGACAGCGTGTGTGTGTGTCAGAGAGGAGAGTAGGCTACATACACTCAGTGATCACTGAGTGTATGTAGATAATTGAGGACATGGTATGGTTACTATATCCTCAATTATGAATGAATGGGAGTGATCTATATCCCCTCCTGTTCATTCATAATTGTAGTTATAGTAAACATACTATATTCTCAATGAACAGGAACACTCAGTATAGATGATCCCTGTTCATTGATAACAGGCAGTGGCGTAACCAGAGTTATGGGCACCCGGGGCAGAGATTTTTTTGCCCCCCCCCCATTATATAAAAATCCACTGGAACTGTACCCCCCACATATTTCCTCCATTTTGACTCTCGGCTTGAAAAGAGGTGCCGCTCACCACGGGGCAGCACCCCCGTCGCCCTCCGTTACTGTGGGGGGGAAAAAATCAGAAAAAAGTACAAAGCGTCCTGCGGCCAGCTCGTCGTGAGCGAGGGGGCAACTTATTTATTAACGACATCGGGGAGGGTGTTAACAGCGATATTTGCGTGTTTGCGGAGGGCACCCAAATCGGGAGGGTAATCGACACGGACTTAGACATTATAACATTACAGGAGGACCCGGATAAAATAGGGGAGCGGGCATTAATGTGGCAGATGAGGTTTAATGTCGATAAATGCCAAGTCGTGCACTTTGGACATAAAAATAGACAAACGGGTCATGCAAGTACGGGTGTGCCGCTAGGGGAGTCAGAAACGGAGAAGGATTTGGGGGTCATCGTAGACAACAGACCGAAAGGTAGCTTTCGGTGCCAGGCTGCTGTAAACAAAGCTAGCAGGGCTTCGTCCCGTTTTAAGAAGGGGATGTGTGGCAGGGACGAGTCTATAATTTTGCCACTTTATAAGACCTTCGGTTGGACCGCATCTGGAGTACGCGGCCCATTTCCGGTCACCGGTACTGAGAACAGATGTCCTCGAGTTGGAAAAAAGTCCAGCGGAGTGCAACCAAACTAATCAGGGGTACGGAGGACCAGAGCCACAAGACAAGTCTACTAAATTTACACACGTTCGCATCGGAGGCGAGGAGATCGAGGGGGGGATACGATTTCCATGTACAAAATGTTCCATAGCGGTAACAACATTAGCGATAAACTGTTTGAAAAAAACCAGAGGCCTCAATCGCCTAAAATCGTTGGGGGAAAAAAATTCCAGCACGAGGGGCGAAGGGGGTTCTTCACGGTAAGATCAGTTAGGGTCCGGAACTCACGGCCGCAGGCGGTGATTTCAGCAAAGAACGCGGGACGGTTCAAGAAACTTCTGGACGATTTCTTAAGGGACCGTCATAGACAGGGGTGCGGGTACTCCTAGAACGAGATCCCAATAGGTTGGACTTGACGGACTAACGTCTTTATTCAACCTCAAATACCATGTAACTGCGTAACTATGTAAGAGGACGGACGTTCCCCGCCGAGGGGGACGAAAGGCGGACGTTTTCGAAGGCCCCCGGCCGAGGGTAGAGGCCGCCGGGGGCCCCACGAGAAGCCGGCGGCCGGGCGGGCGTCCGGCACCCGAGAAGGGGAGCGGGCGGACGCGGCCCGGAAGACGGCGACACCGGGGTCGACGAGTGCAGGCGCCGAGCTTGACTCTGGCCCGCCGGCGAAACGCCGCCACCCTCGTCGGCTACACCACCTTAGGGTTAGGCCTTCTCCTGGTAGGCATTGCTGTGCAGAGGATGACAGCAGGCTGTTATCAAGATCAAAATCAGCCACTTTTCTGATTACATTTATTTTGGTTATGTTTTTTAACCTGATTTTGTGTGTTTGTTATATCTGCCTGGAGTTTGGCTTTAGTGGAACAAACGAAGGTAACACACTTGTTCTTGGAGTAACATCACTGCACACTTTACTAACAGGTTATTTTGATATATTTAAAGTTTAAAATAGGTTGCAAAAGGGAACAGAGCGCCACCTCCGTGTGTAAAATCGTTTATTAAAATAAATAAAACAAGGGATAAAAGTACTCACAAGCAAATGTTTCCATCATGCTTTAACAACAAACAAGAGGCCACACTGTCTGTTAACCCAACATGGTATCGCCCCGACTATGTACCACAGTCGCCTGCGGTCACATCACCGCCCACTGGCCACAGTCAGCCAAGATTGACGCGTTTCAGGGGCAAGCCCTCTTTATCAGAATAACTGACTGATTCTGAAGAAGGGGGCTTGCCCCTGAAACGCATCAATCTTGGCTGACTGTGGCCGGTGGACGGTGATGTGCAGCTTGAGAAAGGCAAGAAGGATTCATTGAAATATCGGGAAATCCTAGGAGAAAAAGTAATGCCGTCTGTGAGGAAGTTGAAATTTCGTCATCATTGAATCTTCCAACAGGACAGTGATCCCAAGAAAACCTCAAAATCCACCAGGGCTTGGTTGCAGAAGAAGTCCTGGAAGATGCTACAGTGGCCATCACAGTCACCTGACTTAAAGTGACATTAAAGTCAAAACATTTTTTCCCTCGCCCCATGTTAATGTTAGCACTTACCTTAAATGATGTCTCTTCATTCTTTCCTGATGTTTTCATCTGTCCCTCCAGCGGTGCGGCGGCTCTCCGATCCAGCGCTGACTGCTTTGTCCCTCCGATCCAGCGGTGTCTGCATGCGGGTGCACGCATCCATAGATTTACCTTGCGTCTCTGCTCGTCTCCCGGCCGAGAATCGGAACTACGCATGCGCCCGCCCCAAGATCATTTGCGGCCGTATGAGCAGTTCCTGATTCTCGGAGCGGGAGCGTGCAGCGATAACGAAGTAAGTTTTAACCTAGTTAAAGCATTGGTTTTTTTTCTAAACTGCTTGCCTATATCTACTGCTTGCTAGCAGTAGATATAGGCAAAAAAACCCGGACAGTTTAGAACCCCTTTAAAAACCCATAGAAAATCTCTGGTGGGATTTAAACCCAAGAATTTTACTGAATTGGAGGTCATTGCTCATGAGGAGTTAAAAGATGCATGTCCTGTTGAATTTGGGGAAACCACTTGAAACATTTGTCATGTTGACCTCTTTCAGTTGCTTTTGTTTGATTTGTTCACTGGAAAGAGCTGAAAGTCTGTACATTTTGCCAATAAACCTAATTTGCAATGGGGGTTGAATCATTTTAATTAAACTGTACCTATATGCAAAGTAATGTGTGTGTGTGTGTGTGTGTGTCTGCTCTTTTTTCTTTTGGATGCACTGTTAACCATAAGACGGTAATAAAGCCTACCTGTGACAATGTACTTGCATATAGCCTGATATTGTTATCATTTTTTTATACTTTTATAGTTATAGTTTCTAATGGCTGTAGTTCTTTTACAAATCTTAGAGGGGGGGGGGGATTATCTGTACACCCTCCAGTTTAAGATGCAAACAGTGGTTTGTGTTTCCTGTGATCGCTGGATCCATTCACTTTGTATGTGTTGAACAACATTTTTTTTTTCATTTACAAATGATTATGTACATTAATGACCTTTTTTTTAAGTTTCTATGTGTCTCCTATCCATTTTATACACCTATTGTGTGGTGTTTTCTTTTTAACATCATTTTCTGTTTTGTTCCTTGTCGTGAAATAAAAACAAAAAAACTAAAGCAAATTGTGCATGAAATAGAGATTTCCATGGATTTTATTGGAGGTTTAACTGCTATTAAATGCAGCATGCTCTCATTTTCTCACAACACAATGTGATGCAGCACATTGGTGAGAGTGGTGCAAATTGCAAATAATATTGTTAAAATTATTTTAGATGGTTGGCTTCTGTTGGCTGTGTTGTGCAAAATTCCTGGAAACAAAGGCAGCGTATTCCCAGAGCTATGCAAGTAAAGAAGAGCTGGTGCAGAGTTTCCTCCTCACACTGGACAGCTTGACCTGCGTGTAATGCAGTGAAATAATATGAACATGTAAAATACCAAAAAGAAAAAAATACACTAAAGGTGTTTATTACATTAATTACCTAAATTCAGACACCAGAATAGAATATTTCTTTGCAATAGGTGTCTTTTAGTTAGCTGTTACAGGCAATTGTGTCAGCTGGCGTTAATGTATTGCATTAAACAACGTGACGTTGAATCTTTCACTAGAAAGCAATTAACATTCTATGTGTTCGCCTTGAGGGTCAGAGTACCTCTGCTCCAGTTTATGAGATGCAATATTTTCCATTCTCCCAATAGATGAGCAGTTACTACATCAATTCCAGTGATTCACCAATGATAACCAGCAGACTGACCTTGAGGAGGATGTGCCATGTGTTTGACGCACATTATCAGCATGTTAATTGCAGAAACTGTGATAGCCTAAAATGAATGAGAGGCCATATGGATGTCAGGCTGATCAGGATGAACAGCATAGCTAACCTATTTATGAGGCATCTTACTCCCTACCGGTGATGTGCACATGTCATCTGCACTGTAGCCTGAGGGAGCAAGAGCCATGCCATTGGAAATGAATACTCCAGTGTTACACTTGACAGCCACAGCGTCATTGCCACTCCTCACAGATTGGCTGTGGTGTTTTGATTGGGTATAAATAGAAGAGGCATTTTTTGGATGAGTCCTAGTCCTCACAGCCTGCTCAGAGCACCTGATCTATCACTGCCAGCTGTCCAGTTGTGGTCATTCATCCCTTTGGGCTGTGATCATGAACACACACATGAATGGAGAAGTCAACTGCAACTACATGACCAGCTTCAGCAATGGCACCGTGGACATCAAAAAGACTCTGATACAGCAAAATCTGAAACAGTGCAAAAATGAGCAGCATGATCAGGACAAGCTGCCAATTTTAGAGGGTGCCTACACCACCATCCTCAGAGAGCTGGGCGAGAGCCCCGAAAGAGAGGGACTGCTGAAGACCCCCCTGAGAGCTGCCAAAGCCATGCAGTATTTTACCAAAGGATACCAAGAAAGTATTCATGGTAAGTCCACCTTGACACCTGGAGTAAAGTCAAGCTCCCAGCCTTCTGAGATGAGAAAGAGACAACTTTTAAAGTGGCAACCTTTAGCTTTTAGAATTTGTACTTTCTGTCACAAGGGTAACTGGGGCAGAAAGGAAAGTGAGTGTGAATCCCCCCACAGGTATACATGCAACTATAAAAAAAAAAAAGGGGGACAGCGTTCAATCCGTTCCCACCACCCGAAACAATAGACACAAATTTGCATAAAGTCCTATTGTAACAAAGTAGAACTGAAATATTTTCTGGTGATCCAAAGCCTTTCAGGCAATGCAGAGAGCCACAATTTATCCATCATGCTAATTAGTTGCTGCACTTTGCTCATTGCTCTTTGGCTTATTACATAGTCTGGGTAGCTGTGCATGTGTCAATGTAAAACAGTTTTGCTTTTGACTATAAATAAGCATGCAGTTTATGCAACAGAGGAAGCAAGTAAAAGTGATATCAGAGATCCCGTTTAGGCTTTCTGTGACTCACTCACACACTTTCATAAATCATCCTTTGCTTGAAGTTGAAGTGTAGGCAAAAAGTTTATTGGGGCATTATCTAGGTACCAATAAGATGCCTCTAATGATGTGTGCCCCATTGGTGGCTGCAGCTCCTTTCTTGTTACTTACAGGCAGGCTCTGATGGTGATGTCACCTCTGAAGTTCTGATGGTGAAACTGACGGTCGGGGCGTCGCTTGCTTTACAGCTCCTCCATTCAGAAAATGTCCTCTTTATCAAAGAATAGAAGGCGTTCTGTGATTGGACATGGGGAGATCATAATGCTCCTATGCCCCTTGTCCATTCACAGAATACCTTGTATTCTTTCAAATTAAAACAGGATATTTTCTGAATAAAGGAGCTCATTCTGTGATCAGCATGCTCCAGTCCCAACTATTGCTGCCGGAATGTCTGCAGTGATATCAACGTCAGAGGCTGCGTGTAATTAACATTGGGAAATGAAGAAGCAGCAGCCACCAGTAGGGCACACATCATTAGAGGCATCTTATTGGTACCTAGCTAATGCTGCAACAATGTTTTTGCAAACACTTCAGCTTTAAACAAAATGTTAATTCTGCTCTACTATTAATAACGTTTTGCCCAGTAAAATTGCATCAAAACCAGGAAAACAGGTTATCTGCTTTAAAGTGGACCCGTGTATCATTATCACAGAAGGATCTCACGTGTAACAACCACTTAAACCCTCGTACCACCATGGCTGTGCAGTCACTTGCTTGGCTTTATAATGTACATCCGTATACTGCTCTTAGTCCTAGGTTAGAATACATAGTAAGTCTAGTGCAGGTCAGGTGACACAGTGCTACAGAAAATTGTTCTTCTGTTCACATAAAAAATGAAAGTAGATGTAAACCCAATCACTAATATCTCAGATAATCTTTAACATGTTTAAATCTGCAGGTCCTAATCCCTCATAGTCCTAATAACTCCTAATCCTGCCAGATGGGTCTTTGTTCAGGAACTTCCTGTTATAGGGTGACATTGTCGTGTCCCCATCTGCAAAATATCCTTCAGGGTTGTATGAATTAGCTGAAAGGGGCTGGAGGAGATCAGCAGCACTAAGATGCAATAAGAACACGAAAAAAGGTAAAAATAGTATGTTCTATAAGAAAAAAGCAATTGATCATGATACACAAGCATTTGGTAGGCAGTCATTCCAGTTATCGTTTACATCTTCAGTATAGACTAACTTGAAGTGAAGCTACCTGGATAGAAATATAGAAGCTGCAATTGGTGACTTGTTTATGAGGGATAAAATCTGGGGGCTAACATCCTCATGTTTAATTATCTGACATAGGAGAAGCATGCAGTCAGTGAGAGGTAATATGCACATGCTTGTTCTATGTTAGAATCAACCAATCAGAACTGATCTCTCACTGATCTGACTTCAGTGTCCGGATTGCTGTTCTTTGTACACCACCATTGCACCATTGCAAATCTGGGGGCTAACATCCTCATGTTTAATTATCTGACATAGGAGAAGCATGCAGTCAGTGAGAGGTAATATGCACATGCTTGTTCTATGTTAGAATCAACCAATCAGAACTGATCTCTCACTGATCTGACTTCAGTGTCCGGATTGCTGTTCTTTGTACACCACCATTGCATTTTAACTGCATTCACAGTGTCAGAAAGGAATTCCCAGTTAGTCTACCATTATAGCACTTATAATGACCTGTTCGATCTCCATTCTTGACAAAAAAACAGGTCCACCCACCTCTATGGAACAGAATGTACATGTACTTATATTCCACGCTCCCTCCCACCACCTGGATCTGCCACTGGCCTGCCTGTGTACTATCCAGTACATCTTGATATGGGGACACATGTGATACTTTCTTTGTCTCCCTACAATACAGCATTTGAACTAATTGACTAGCCCAGTCTGTATCCGGGGCAGGCAAGGTTGGTGGTGTGCATAACCCTGAGTAAGTGTTAGTTTGCTTGGTTAGTCTAAACCTACGTTGTGGTCTCTGGCGGACTGGATTGGAGTGGCGGGGTAGTTGGTGGAAGGTAAGTACATGTTGCTTACATTCTGGTGAACCTGTTACTTACCTCCAAATTATCTTAAGGTTTCGAGCAGACGTAGGCAACTTTGGCACTGCAGCTACGGTGCAAATAAAAATCGCACCACACCTCTGTCTCTGGGAGTCATGCCTGTGGGTGTCTGAGTCTTGCAATGCCTCTGGGGCCATGGTTGCCTACCACGGTTTGGCATTAAGCCGATCTAAAAAGAAGCCTAACTTATTTTATCTCCAGCTATTTTCAGATAATAGGTCTGTGAAAGACGGCCATTTTCTGTGCCACATCTAACATTTGCCGTGTTTAGTTTTGGGAAGTCATGCACAGGATTTTTAAATGGTCTGACATAGGTCCGGCCAGTTGCAGATTACTACAGACCCATGCAAGGAAGCCCTCTATGGGGTTCCAGTGAGGGATAGAGGGCAAATACTGTGTGCAAAGGTTGGCATTTGGAGCTGGCACTCCCATAGCTAGCTGTCCATCATTTGGAGGGATGGTCACCCTTTTGGAACCAAATCCATCTGTCATTCTTTCCCCCCAGTTGTCCCTCTTGTTTGGTCTGATGTATAGACCTCTATAAATATTAATTTATCTACCAAACGTGTTATACTGCGCTGAGCCATTCACCCAACTTCTAAGTTGTTGTATTTGTTACATTGAAAAGCAAATGTAAACATATATAAATAATAATTTTGTACTCATTAATTCTTAATGGGCCTCAAAAAATAGCAGGAGTGTATCCTTTCCTCCATACTTTGTGCTAAAAGTCCTAGTTTCCATCTACAAACATTGCGAGGTATACACTCTTGACTGCACACACTATCACATCACCCACACATCACATCATAGGCTTCCTTGCATGGGTCTGTATTGTCCTCAGTTCTGTGTGGACAATTTGTAAAACCCTTGTATGGCACAGTCTCTGTTAAGGTCTCCCTATTGCACAGTGTCTCTGTATAGCAGAATATCTGCAGTCACTCTATACCAGGGGTAGGCAATCTTGACACTCCAACTGTGGTCAAATTACAAATCTCATCATGGTAGTCATGTCTGTGGCTGTCAGAGACTTCTGGTACATCATGGAACTTGTAGTTCCACAACAGCTGGAGTACCAAGGTTGCCTACCCATACCCTCATACAACAGGGTCTGTATAGTGCAGTGTCTTTGTATACCACACTCTTTGGCTTTTTTTTGTATATGGCTTAGTCTCTGCCAATAACTCTGTATGTTGCAGTTTTACTGTATGGGGTACTATCTCTATATGGCAACCTCTCTAGTAATCTTTGTGGTGCAGTCTATCTGGCATTTCTCTTTGTGTTGCACTGTCTCTTTTTACAGTGCAGTCTCTGACAGTTTCTATACCCTGTTTCCCCGAAAATAAGACCTACCCCGAAAAAAAGACCTACCCCCAAAAATAAGACCTAGTACTATTTTTGGGAATTGCTAAAATATAAGACCTACCCCGAAAATAAGACCTAGTTGTGACCATTCCCAGGGCCGGTGGTGGCATAAGGGGGATCTTGAAGAGCCGCGGGAGAGGCAGGAGAGAATCAGCGGTGCCAACAAAGCCAGCACTAGAGGTAGCGAGGCGGCAGCGGAGGGAGCAGAGCCGCATAAGCCAATGCCTCCTCTATAGCGACGGCTCCTGTCACAGGCGGAGTGATACGAAATGCACTCCGCCTGTGAGGAATGATAGTGAAAGCGCGCTTCGCTCATTCTGGCCAGCGATCGGTTACCAAATTGCTCTTGGAAAGGTACGGCACCCCTGATTGCCCTGATCACCATATGTTTGTACTTGAATACATGTAGACTGTTGTACATATGAATAAGTGTGGATTGTTGTACATTAAAAACAAAAAATAAGACCTACCCCGAAAATAAGACCTAGTGTGTTTTTTTGAGCCCAAAAAAATATAAGACAGTGTCTTATTTTCGGGGAAACACGGTACTTCACGGCCTCTATTCGTCTTGTATGCGTCTTTTGTAATCTCTGTATGTCACAATCTCTAACATTCCCTCTGTGTGGTGCTTGCTCTGGCAGTCTCTTTGTATAGTCTAGTCTTTGGCAGTATCACTATATAGTCCAGTCTCTGGCAGTCACTGTATGTACAACCTCTGTCAGTCCTTCCGTATAGTACAGTCTTTGGAAGTCACTTTGTATAGTATAGTCTTTGGCAGTCACTCTCTTTGGCAGTCACTCTGCATAGTAAAGTCTTTGGCAGTCCCTCTATATAGTGCAGTCTTTGGCAGTCCCTCTATATAGTGCAGTCTTTGGCAGTCCCTCTATATAGTGCAGTCTTTGGCAGTCCCTCTATATAGTACAGTCTTTGGCAGTCACTCTTTATAGTAAAGTCTTTGGCAGTCACTTTGTATAGTGCAGTCTTTGGCAGTCCTTCTGTATAGTGCAGTCTTTGGCAGTCACTTTGTATAGTGCAGTCTTTGGCAGTCCCTCTGTATAGTGCAGTCTTTGGCAGTCCCTTTGTATAGTACAGTCTTTGGCAGTCACTCTGTGAAGCGCAGTGCTAGCAAACACTCTGTATGGTGCTGTCACTGGTGGCCTTCCCGTATTTTTCATTAGCATGCTTTCCATATTTGGCAGTCTCTGGCTATTTTTAAGTAATATAAGTATTCTTTGGCAGCTCCCTGCACCCCTGTATGCCACAGACTCTTCAAGCTTGCTATGTGCTGCAGTCCTTCTGTCAATTTGTATAGTGCAGTCTCAGACACTGCTTCTGCATTGTACAGTGTTCAGCAGTTTGTTTGTAAAGTGCAGTCTCTGGAAATCCCTATGTATGGTAAGTCTCTCTGTACCACTAGTGGTCTCGGGCAGTTTCTCTGTAACTTGAGCTAAATAGTTAAAAAAATAATTCAAATACCGAATAACAGTTATTGCAATAACCAGACACAGTTATCAGAATACAATATTTTCATAATAGTGGCCTTTTACACTTTTCTCAGTGACACTTTTGTTTGTGGTTCAAGAAGACTGATAGTTAATGCTTATATCATTTTGTGTTTCCAGATATACTCAACAATGCCATATTTGATGAGAACCATGATGAGATTGTCATTGTTAAGGACATCGATGTGTTTTCTCTTTGTGAACATCACTTGGTACCATTTTTTGGCAAGGTACGCAACAAAGTTTAGGAGACACTATAACAAGGGGGTGGGGAGTAAGAAAAGGATAGGGGGGCAGAGAGAGATTTAGGGGGTCCAAAGATAGATAGAGAGGAAGGAAAAAGGAGAGTGTTAGAGAGAGGGGAGAGAGACAAAGACAAAACAAGAGGAAGGGAAATAAATGGGGGGATAGTGGGAAAAAGACAGAGAGAGGGAAAGAGTAAGAAAGTAACTGATATGTTAAAGCTGGAACAAAGAATACAGCATAGGTGTCCCCAATCTACCTCTGATTGTTAGATATCATAAAGTGCTTAATGTAGAACTGTAAAAAGGCTATAGACATTCAAATATTTACATATCCTAAACAAGCAGTAAATGTGCTTAAAACAAACCCTAGTGGACCTCCGTAGCTGCAGAGACTGTAGAGCAATTCATTCTCAAATTTCGCAAGAGGTGCAGTAAAGTTTAAATGCAGTCTCAGCACTCTGCTCTCCCCCTCTTCCTGGACCCCTGCTCTGTGTTTACATTAGCGATTTTAAGGCTTGAAGACTTCCAACTAACTGCTGGTAGGTGGTATCTAAGCTACAGAGCGAAAGTGAAAGTCAAATGAAAAGTGCAAGTAAATTCGAGAAGCTTTATCTGGAAGTTTTGAGAATTAATTGCTCCAGAGTGCCTGCAGTTACAGAGGTCAGTGGGCTTGTTTTAAAGCATATTTACTGCTTGACAAGTAAACCAGTCGTGAGCAACTGTCACTGCTGACGACCTTATGAAAAGGCTAACCCACTGGCTTGAATACTTTTGATTATTTGACTTGGAACAAGTCTACAGATCATAAAACTCAGAAGTCCTTATTGGCATTGGGTCAGTGACTCAAAGTACTTCAAGAGTCAGTTTTGCAGGCAGGTAACCAGCATTTTCAGGAGGAGCGCTCAACAATATCAGCCTCTACTGTTATCTCATTGTAGGCTTGCAAAGTTTTTAGAAAATATATTTAACATGTTTGTCTTCTCTCACTGTCGTAGGTTCATATTGGCTACTTACCAAACAGAAAAGTAGTCGGACTGAGCAAGCTGGCAAGGTAAGTCATTACTGAACACATAGGTCAACACTGTGTGGAAGCTGAGGACTAGAGTTATGTTATGCATAAGATATAATACTTATAGAAATATGCCTGGTTATGGTTATTTATCATAGAAGACTCCTACATTCTGCTTTATTCTGCAGCAGTATCTGAGGTGAATGACTGGCAATTAGTACAACATGACATACTGGTGCTGACTGCTGATTTTTTTCTTTCAGGATTGTTGAAATCTTCAGCCGAAGGCTACAAGGTTTGTAGGAAAACATTACTTTTTTTTAATGTGGAGAAAATTGCAGGTTACTGCTCTGAGGGCATCAATGCAAAACCTTTTTTGCCTTGAGTGGGGAAGGGTTAGACCCCTGCCAAATTTGTATCATTGTCTGTGTTCCTGTTGGGGAGATTCACCTTCTCAATTGGTGACCCTTGTCATTAAGGCAGAAAGTGACCCTTGTCACTAATGCAGGATGAAAGAAGAAATCCAACATTTCAGAGTGGTCACCAGAGCAAGAGGTGAGGGTAAACAATGGAATGTGAACAAGTGTTCTGGTGACAATTGTTGTAGATGGGATTTTTCTCTGGGATTCTCTCTTGTTTTCTTTTGCATCTCCAGAACAGGAAATACAGGTCAATTTCCCCAGGAGGACACAGATAGCAAAATATAACCTGGCAGGAGTTTTAACCCTTCCATACTCTCCTCAAAATTAAAAAATAGACTATGAATTTAATTGTATGACCCCAGCTCCCAATGTGCAGCATGGCTGTGTGAACTGCAGGCAGATGTGCTTTCATCCAATCCACTGCAGTCAATGCAACCTTTAGGTTGACTGACAGCTGCTCTGGCCCTTTAGCCTGGGACTTCCTGTAATGGTAATAGATTTACTGGTCGGATTACCAAGCAATAAAACTATGTATCGGAGAGAATTAGGAATAACAAACACTGCTGTGTAAATGCTACTAAGACTGCATTAGAGCCCTTTCACATGGGCTTTTTGATTAGCTACGCCAGTCAGTTTTTCAGGTGGATCCGATCGGAAGCCCAATGTTAGTCTATAGGCAGCTGGATCTAAAAAGACTGGTGTCCGTTTATAACCAGTTACCCCGGCTCCGGCCAGGTCTGTAAAAACCAAATCTAACCTGACACAAGTCTGACTTCCCATAGAAACATGGGACCTGTAATTTCATTTTTTTCCCCCATCCCAAGATGGAGGAAAAATGTGACAGACACGGATGTCATAATGGTGACATCCGTTCTGATAAGCAGGGGATCCATGCACTGATCCCCTCCTGATCGGACTGCGTGAAAGCGGTCTTATTTATGTCATCCTTTATTTTGCTCATAGTTCTACTTAAATAAATATATTGCAAATTCTGCACATTTTATGGAAATTGTCAGAGTGCTTGGGCCTAGGGATAGGTGTCACAAGCATTGAGTGCTGTCATGTGCAAAATAGGTATACCGGCCCCATACCCCAAAAGGTGGGGTTTTCAGAAGGCTGTGGCAGCGCTCTGCAGACAAAACCATATGGGCTCTTATATCAAGGGGGGGACTTGGTTTAGCACATTTATTTACAATATTGGTTACTTTACTATGGGCCTGTGCTTTGCCTATGCAGAACAAAACAACAGGTTAACTCTAATGCGGTTCCCACCAATTGGATATTTTTTCCTTCTCCTCATGCCCCCACTGTTATGTTCAGCTGCCAGGAGCAAGGAGAGGAAGCATTGTGTAAACTCCAAGCTTTGTTTCATGTTACTCAAATATCCTTATTTCTTCAGCTGCATCCTTTTTACCTAAGAAATCTGATGTAATCCTAATAAATGTTAGGGTGGGATTATTATTTTATGTCAGCCCTGAAATCAGATTTGTGTTCCAGTACACAAAATCTAAAGCTGAAGGTGGTGGCTGAGCATGCTTGGTTGTTATCATATTTAGACCTATTGGATAAATATTCCAAAAAGATACATACTGGCTGAATTACAGAGACCCTGTCACTAACCTAAACATTGCAGGTAAAAGGTCAAATGTGTCTTTGAATGTGCTAGAAATATTTGACGACTCCGGAAGAGTCAATTCTCTAGCACTGCTCCCTCCTTCCTTGCAAGTCAAAGCCCTCTTCTCTTCTGCTAGTGGCTAATTATTGTCTGTGATGGCCCAGCTTCTTTCCCCCTCCCCTCCTCTCTCTACATAACCTTTTATGCAGCTGCTGGGGAGGATAGAAGGGGAATATTATAGAATGTCACTTGAGTGACAGCTCAGTGTCAGGGTTTTTGGATGTATACACGGGGGGGGGAATGTATATAACATGCCTATGATATGCTGAGTGTGCACATAATCTTGTGGGAAGATTTTTGTTAAAATGAATGGTCTGGTGACATAGTTTATGTTTATATATTGTTAAATAGTATTCAAATTGATCAATTTCCATGAATATCTTTAAAAAGAGTGTTTACAGCACCTTTTGTTAATAAACATCTTTTGATTTATATATTTACAGTTCAAGAACGTCTCACAAAACAAATCGCATTAGCCATCAATGACGCTCTGCAGCCAATGGGAGTAGCTGTTGTTATGGAAGCTTCGTAAGTAATGTGATTTATTTCCATGATTTATGGTAAAAAATCATTTTTATGTATTCCAGGACAATACCTTGTTTATTTCATAGAGGGACAGTGTTAGGCTAAGTAGGTGTTCAGCTGTAGGTGACAGAGGTGGCTTTTCTCTGCATCATGCTTTATAGTTTTCTATCATTTAAGGCTAAGTTTACCTTTCCGACCATGTTTTATGTTACACCCATAAATATTGTCTCCCATCTGCCACTGTAGCAGAGGAAGCCACAACTTTGATTACATAACCACACTTGAAGTCCATTGTTTATCTCCTCCAACCCCATAGCAGAAGGTCCGTACCTCCATAAAGACCTTCGGGCTGGGGCTAAACAATGCAGGAGCCAGTGCATTGCACCCGCCAAACACTGACCTTGCTCTGTAGGCTTGAATGCAAATATTTAATAAATGCACATTTTTCAATTTAATTTAGTTTATTACATTTCTGCAAAGGTGGGCTTTGCTTTCACTGCATAATACATTTTAAAACCTCACACGATAGACATGCATTTACACAGTCGCAATGCTCTACCCCATGGTAGAACCAACAAAAGTAGAGAATGGTCTAGGACTTAGGTCAAAGATGGCCAGCAAAGTCCATTAATGGAAATCAAGTCAATCCAAACTTGTCATCAGATCACATTCAAAGTCAAGGTTTACTTTATTTTAACTTACACACACATGCTTGTGTCCTATGATTTTCTTTTCAGTGGCATTACTGTAGGAAACAGTGGGCTGTTACTTGATATTTTCCAGTCCAAGCCCTGGGGCCATTTGCCCTGTGTGAACATCACTTCCTGTTCATTCATGAGTTTCTCAATGGGGAGTAGCACTCAGTACAGAGGCTCCTCCCCATTCAGAAACTGGATGATAGTAAATATGTTTTATGAATGAATGGGAAGCCTCTGTATTTCCCATTCATTTAGAACAGAGGCTGCAGAAAAAAGATTGAGGACTTTGTGTCCTCAATTTCTTTTTCTATTTTAAAAGGGAAATAACAGGGGGCTGTTTAGACCCCTAATATTTCCCCGAAAATCCCCCCCCCCCAACAGTAAAAAAGAAGTAAAAGTATAAAAATGATTAAAAATAAATAAAAAATAGTAAACAATAAATAATAAAAAAAAACATCCTGGAGACGGGGCGTATGAAGTCACATGACGCTGTGCGTGCGCAGTGTTGGGTGATGTTACATGCCTGTTGGGGCAAACAAATGTTTTCTCTGTGTCCTTGCGTTTCATCAGTGATGATCAATGCAGCTGAATGCACCTGGTGTGCACAAGCCCTATGTTCTACTTCTGTTTATCCTGACAATGGCGTCCTGTACATAACATCACTGTGTAATTTTGTCCCCCCCCTCCCCAGGCACATGTGTATGGTAATGAGAGGCGTTCAGAAGATGAACAGCAGAACTGTCACCAGCACAATGCATGGAATCTTCCGAGACGATTCCAAGGCCAGAGAAGAGTTCCTCTCGCTGATCAAACAATAGCATCAAACAATAGCAGAAGCTGCTCTGTGCAGATGTGCACAGTTTTATCCTACTTCATGTAATCAACTGTATAAGAATTCATTCAATTAATGGTGCTGAAAATTCTGATTATTTTGTGTTACCTTCAAAAAATTAAATTGTGTGTTTTACATAATAATCTGTGTTAGTGACTGAATATGAGTTTCTGAGTTCGTGTGATGGAGTATTACACTGCCTGGCCAAAAAAAACACCCCAAAATGGCACACTCGAATATTTCATTGGACCTCCTTTAGCTTTGATCACGGGAAAACAGTCACCATGGCATAGTTTTGATAAGCTTTTGCAATGTCACAACTCACAACATTTATTTCCATCCAGAGCTGCATTCATTGTTCACCAAGATCTTGTAGTGATGATGGTAGAGTCATACCACTGTGTAAAGTCTCATTCTTTTATTCCTATGAACTGTTGCTGGCTGGAAGGTAAACAAAAACTCCAGGATTTTTTTTATGAACCCCTTGCACTGTTAATAAAAACATCCCACCCCCCCACACACACACTGCAAGGGTTAAAGGAGAACTATGGGGTAAGTGTTTTTCCCCATAGTTCTCTTAAGTGTCACGGGAGGACATATACTAACGTCCTCCTTTGACCCAAAGCTCAGTATATCGCGAACTACAGCTTGCTGTATACGGAGACCGCCGCAGCTGGGATGGATCCCGACATTACTGTCCAGATCCACCCAGCTGGGTGAGCGACAGCTGCCTCTGCCTATCTAAGTTTGTTTGTGTCTAGGTGCTAAAATAACAAAGATATACTAACCTGAAGCTGTCACAGTGCTCCATCCAGCCTGTCTCGCCCTCCCTGCAGCATTGGAATCTTCCTCAGCATCCTCACGTCGTGTATAGACGTGATGATTTACGGGGCCTAAGACTGCTGCAGAGGAGGGGGGAGAGACGTTGGAGGGATCGGACCAAAGCTGGCCATACAACTATGGATTATCTGCAGATTTTCTGTGGTCAGATGGAAAAAGTGCAACAGATCCCTACATCTACGCTAAACTGTATGGATGGAGGAATCTCCCTCTGAGCCAAGCTTCAGTATGTTGCTAGTCGGCCCCCGCTGGCTCTCAAAATACCTGAACAATGCCAGCATCCAGACAGAGAAATGACAGCAGTCATGAAGGAAGTTTATATCTAGACATCAGTCATGGTCTTAAAGCAATACTGCAGCCAAAAATAACAAAATCTAAATTATTGCCCATCAAAAAAATAAATAAAAAAAATCAGCTTTGCAATATTCACTTTCATTCCAGTGCTCTCCCCCCACAGCTCTTTACAGCCAAAAGATGTCTTCAGTCTGATGGCCAGCATCATACAACCACATCCTTTGAGCCCAGTTCATCCTGGACCCGCCAACCTGACTGAATAGTGACAGCAAAAGCAACACAGTAATGCGTTTTGTTATTTTGCTCTCTCCTCCTATTAGCATGCTCCTGGTTAGCAAATCAACTGTTTGGTTCCTTCTGCTGCTTCTTCCACTCACCCTCCAGCCCTGCTATACAGGGACTGGGAAGAGGCTGATACCAGGTAAAATAAATTTAATGACGCATTAATGACCACAGATCTGCATCAATATGTCCTAAATATCTCCTATTTATTTATGTATTTAGCTCTGACAATTTACACAGCACTTTCATTTTAAAGAAGCATTTGACTTTAAATTCATTGTTCATTTCTTTGTTAATTGTGTGTCATTGGCTGAAGCTGCCTGTTCGTGTCATTCTGTTTGGTAAACAGAACTTCTATGTGATACATAAGAACATAGCTCCATTGTTTAATATATGTAGTACATCTCTGTACAATGGAGTTTTTTTCCCATTGAATAAGCCATAACCTAATCATTTTACGCACTGTTATGCAAGCTATTAATACAAAATAAGAAAACATAACGTATCCCTTACATGCTGTAGTAGACATTGCAATTAAAATAATTTGATTTCAGACAAGTTTTTTTAAGTCAAAAAGAAAAGGCCACCAAAGCAGCAGCTCCTCACCGTGGTAGAAGAAGATATTACAAGTAGCTGTTGAAATAGAAATGTGAGGTGTTTAGGTTTTATTTGTTTTCACTACTGATGCTATATTTTATTTGCATTGTCGTGGAAATGAAAAAAGCATAAAGCCGAATATAGAGAGTGCCAAGGGAAAAAGTAAAAGGAGCAGAGCAATACCTTCATAAGATTGGGGGTTCTTAAAGTGGTACTAAAGTCTGGTAAATGGTGGAGCGTGAATCTCTCTCCAGCAGGAGCACAGACAATAATATTGGAGTTTTAACCCTTCCCATCCACAAAACTAATTAAAAAAAAAAGAAGTCTTGGCTTAGATACATTTAAGAAACATCTCCACAATTTCTTCCCTATAATTAACGTAATATAACTTCAAACAATGACTCACAACAACCTTCTATTTGTCTTTTTTTCATTAACAGCATCCCTGTAGTTCTTCAGGAAAGAGCAAACTGATGAATGTTCTTTAAAGGTTTCTTATTTAAAATGCAGCATTCTTTTTGGGTTTTGCAAATACACCGTGTTTGTAAAATCAATGTTTCTTTTTTCCACATGAATAAAAACGATGTAAACATCTACACCAATCAGCCATAACATTATGATAAAATTATTACCACCCACCTAATATTGAGTAGGTCCTCCTTTTGCTGTCAAAACAGCCCTGACTCGTCAAGGCATGGACTCCACTAGAACTCTGAAGGTATGTTGTGGTATCTGGCACCGAGCCATCAGTAGCAGATCCTTTAAAGGGCTTTTCCCCATAGTTCTCCTTAGGGTAAGGGGAGGACACAAACTAGCGTCCTCGCGTTACCCTAAGCTTAGTATACCGCGAGCTATAGCTCGCGGTATACTGTGACGCCGCAGCCGGAGCGGATCCCGACATCGATGTCGAGATCTGCCCAGCTGCGTGACAGCTGGCTCTGCCTATCTAGATGCAGAGCCAGCTGTACCCGCCCCCTCCCCCATCCGTTCCGCCAGTCAACGCTGGCGGATCGGAGCGGGGAGGGGGGAATCCAGCCCCTCCCATGTCACGGCAGAGAGCCGTGACAGGATCGAAAGGTGAGCGAACGCCGGTATATGTTCGCTCACCTCCCGATCTACTGAGCCGACCTGTGACAGTCTCATTGTCACAGGTCGGCTAGAACTATGAGGTGAGTGAAAAGCACTCACCTCATAGTTCTTCTTTAAGTCCTGTAAATTGTGAGGTGAGGCCTCCATGGATCGAACTTGTTTTTCCAGCACATCCCACAGATGATTGGATTGAGATCTGGAGAATTTGGAGGCCAAGTCAACACCTCAAACTCGTTGTGTTCCTCAAACCATTCGTGAACCATTTTTGCAGTGTAGCAGGGTGCATTATCCCGCTGAAAGAGGCCACTGCCATCAGGGAATAGAATTTCTATGAAGGGGTGTACTTGGTCAGCAACAATGATTAGGAAGGTGGTATGTGTCAAAGTAACATCCACATGAATGGGAGGACCCAAGGTTTCCCAGCAGAACATTGGTCAAAACATCACACTGCCTCCGTCTTCCCATTGTGCATCCTGGTGCCATCTCTTCCCCAGGTAAGTGACACACACGCACCCGACCATCTACATGATGTATAAGAAAATCTGATTCATCAGACCAGGCCACCTTCTTCCATTGCTCTGTGGTCCAGATCGGATTCTCAAGTGCCCATTGTAAGCGCTTTTGGCGGTGCACACAAGTCAGCATGGAAACCCTGACTGGTCTGTGGCTCCGCAGCCCCATACACAACAAAATGCAAGGCACTCTGTTTTTAGACACATTTCTATGGGAACCAGCATTAACTTTTTCATCAGCTTGAGTTACAGTAGCTCTTCTGTTGGATCTGACTACATGGGCCAGCCTTCTCTCCCAAAGTGCATCAGTGAGCCTTGGTTCCCCATGACCCTATCACCAGTTCACCTGTATTCCTTCCTTGGACCACTTTTGGTAGGTCCTGACCACTGCAGACTAGGAACATCCCACAAGAGCTGCAGTTTTGGAGTTGATCTGACCCATTCATCTAGATATTACAATTTGGCTCTCGTCAAAGTCCCTCAAATCCTTACAATTGCCTGTTTTTTCTGCATCCAACACATCAACTTCAGGGACAAAATGTTCACTTCCACTTCCAGGGGCCATTGTAATGAGATGATCAGTGGTTTTCACTTCAGCTCTCAGTGGTCATAATGTTATGGCTAAACAATGTATATACACTTCAAAGTTTCAATTTGATTTAGTAACAGAAAAAAAAAACAAAAGGTGTTTATGGGGGTGGAAAATATGTGTCAACTACATGAATTAGTGGGGGCGCGTACTTTGAAACATATTGTAAGAGACACCCGCCCTTCATACTACTCTTATATTATGCACTTATATTCTGTTACTGTTTATAGTTAATTCATTTAACAAGTGAAACATAAAAGGAGAAGAGTTCTGTCTCCAGCCTACCATCTTTTGTTTTTTTATTTTAATTTCCCTAATAGTATTAAAAAATGTATAACATCACAGGTCCTTCATCTTCTGTGGTGAGCAGTCTTTATTGCAGCACAAAACAGCTCCCCTAATGATTTCTGAGCCCAGGCCAGCGTGAGGAGACTTGCCCAGGGGGTGTGTATGACAGACTGGGTCAATCCAAATAATATCCCACCGCACTCCTGACCGCAAACGAACCCAAAGTCCGGGTGGGTGCCGAAGCGAGCGAAGATGCCTCCGCCAATAGCACAAAATCAATAGGTGGTCACTCGCACTCCAATTTATTCCAGTCAATAAAGGGATTGACTTTGCATCAGAGTTATAGCGACGTTTCGGAACCAAGTGGTTCTTTCTTCAGGCAAACATAAAGTCACTTTATGTTTGCCTAAAGACGGAACCATTTGGTTCCGAAACATCGCTATAAATTGGACACTATTCCAGTCAATAAAGGGATTGACTTTGCATCAAATTGGAGTGCGAGTGACCACCTATTGATTTTATGACAGACTAGGCTCACAGGAAGTGGGTAAATGACGCTGGAGGGGAGAGGACTTTCTGTGAAGTATTTCAATGCTCAGAAAGTCATTCTTTTATTTCTAATTATAGATGAAAATTTGCTTGCATACTTAACGTGCAGCCGTAAGCTGTGCTTGGAGAACTTTTTTTTTCTGTGGACAGAAAAATCTTCAGACGTGCACTAAATAAAATAACCTTCAGACATTATATGATGTTGAAATGTACAGTTTATTTTATACACAAACCACATCAGTCTGCCAAAAGCGCAGGATATTCTATATAACTTCGTATGGCACATACAGTTTTTACATTGTGTACATAATAACAATCCTAAGCTCAAGAGAACTGCTGAGAACCAAAGTATAACATCACAAGATAAAAAGAAAAATAACATAAGTTTAAAAAAAATAATACAAGAGGGAGGTCCCATAGTTTGCAGTCTGTAGGTGTGATTGAGCGGTTTTACAGCCTCCCGAATCACTTCTAACAAAAAGTTGACAGGCTTAGAAGAAACGTAAATAGAGTCCCGGTGGCTATAATGGCTAGGAGTTTATAGGCCATTGCTGCCACAGACGTAGTACTCACATCTGTGGCTGCAAAAAAGTTAAAGCTAAACTTCATTCAAATTTCAAAATAATGCTTGCAGTACGGCTTCCTTCACACTGCAAGGGTTAAATGCTCGTTTTTGTCCAGGGTACCAATAAAAAGCACTTTTGCGTACCTTATCCATTGCAGCCGGCGCTTGCCTCTTCCCTCTGACGCTCCAGGTTGTGGACGAGCCCTCGGCGGCCTCAATTACTGTTGGTCCTTCATTGTATGTGACTGACAGATGGAGCCCTGAAGGTAAGAGCCTTTGGTGGACCAGATGCACAGAGCTTGCAGAAGCAAAGAATAAGGTAAGTAGAACTACTTTTTAATGGTACAATAGATTAAAACCAGCATTTGTGGGTGGGAGGAGCCCCACTGCAAGGGTAGTTTTAAATTGTCCCCAAAGTTCAGCTTCATATCATTTTCAGAAACTGGCTTATGTTTTTTTTAAATAAATGAATAGAAATTTGTTTCGGAGTACAGTGAAAATAAACGTGGTACAGTGGGGACCAATGTTTTCTCACAGTCTGCTTCCTGTGCAGTATAACTGACAAATGTCATTTAGGTGTCTTTGCCCAACACAGCATGTCACCTAGAGCTATGGCCTCACAGCAACATTACACCGATGTCAAGTAACTTTGACGCAGATGTGAGAACTTCTACATACACAGTTATAAATCATATTAGTGACTCTTTGGAACAGATTTGTTTAAGGTAAAACATAGGCTAACATTACTTAGCTCCTTCTTAAAGAGACACTGTCACGTTACCTATTCAGGACAACATAGCAGGGTCTGCCTGAAGCTGCTCCTCTAACATATTGGCATTCCCCTCTCCATGACTCCCCCTGCTGCACTTTCTCCCATCGCAGTAGTCACTAAAACACATACAGGGTTATTCACAAAAGGATGAAGAGTTTGGAGAAGGCAGGAGAAGTGAACAATCTAGGACAACATAGCCGAACTGCAAAGTGAGCTAATTGGAGAATTTTTCCAAATCAGCTATGTTGTCCTAGATTGTTCACTTCTCCTGCCCTCTCCAAACTCTTCACCCTTTTGTGAATAACCCTGTCGGTGTTGAAGCCTAGAGGGCGTGGGGATGTCACATCATGGGAGGAGGCCTATACTCAAAAATACTGGGTATTTTGTGTGCTGAGAGGGGAAGGGGAACAGTCTCTGTGGATTGGGGGGGCAGCTGTTTCTTTAAAATGCAAGCTGCATGGATGGTGTGCAGGTTGTCAAGCATCAGTATTTCTGAGTCATTGCCTTGGAATGAGAAGGCAGACAGTGAAGTGTCACCTCCTGATCGCCATACTTGCTTTGCGTCCAGGAAAGTATTGGAAACAGAGGATGCCATGGATCCTGCCAGCCATATGTACTTCTCTCATAGCAGGTTTCCTTTAAACTCTTGTTAAAACACCCCAAACTACTGGGTGAAACATTTACCAGTTCAAGCATGTTAAATATTATGTAGTTCATGTGGGTTTTGATTAAACAGAAGTTTGCTTGTAATTCTTCGTCTCCAACACTTTCTTCCCACACATTGCGCAGATTCCTGCAAGAAAAACAGATGGCAGTGAGAACGTATTCAACATAAAACAATTCTCTTATACGGTAGGTTATTAATTATTAACACACAGTGAAGTCGGGGGAATTTGTTTTTTTTTGCTGTGCTTGTCTGAAGACACAAGATCAGAATTTCTTGATATGTTTTCCTTTGCTGCATCAGAGATGACAGCGCTCTCCGGTCCTGGAAGTTGCAGCGGAATAGAGAAAACTTTGATCTTGCGATAAAGAAAACAGTAAGACTTAGAACCAGTGTTAGCCCCTTCATGCCCAGCGGGTTCCTGCCTTCATTTTGTAGCCAGAGTTGTTTTTATGTCTTGTAGTCATTTGTCTGTTCTTTTCAGTCTACCTAACTGAACTAAAAGCTGAACTGAAGGCAGATATATAAATGTACAATTATTGCAGCTCTATATTCATAATGACATTTATTTGTAATACAAGCAGTATACGTACTGGAATCTGATTGGTATGAGACCCTTACAATCCCCAGTAGAGAAAAGATCTGACTAGGGAAGGGAAAGCAACATAAGGAGCATGTCAGTTGTGCTGCAGTGCAAGGAACATGCTGATAGAAGAAGAAAGCCGAATGACACCGGCTTGTGGAGGGACAAGACCTAAATGTGTCACCAAACTGCAACAGGTCTCCTCATCTGCCAGACAGGGCTGCACTGTGTGGTAGAGCTGTGTAAACCTCAGGAATGAATGGACAGAAATACAAATCTTTTGGCAGATAAAACAGCTCCCTCATTAGGTATTTCATCTCTAGAATGAGCCGTTTGCCTGGAGCTCAACTTTGATTTTTTTTCAGGGTAGATAAGGTTTTGTGATCGTACCAAACACCAAACGCATTGGTGAAAACTGTATTTACTTTGATCGAGTTTAACTCTTCAACTTTAGGCTGGTGTCACATGGAGAATTTTGAAGCAGTGATTTCTTGCAGCTTAAATCGCTGATGGCAGGGATTAGGGACCATGTCACACAGGTGATTTTGTAGAATTCCTCCTATGGAGCGTGTTACACTGGCAATCCTGTTGCTAACGAAGCATCTCTTTTTTTGCTCTCTTTCTCCAGCAACTCGGGTTTTGCAGCATTTTTGGCAGCAAGGGAGTGACGCCTCTCTCCCCCAGCTGGTAAGGAAGTGACACAATCAAAGTATATATCTTCCCTCCATTTTCTCACAATTCTGTCGCTGGCAAATTCTGGCTAGTGACAGGATCGCCAGCCTCATGTCGCCCAGTAGCATGAATTTGATTGTTGCTGCGAGAAATTGCTTGTTAACAAAAAAAAAAAAAAAAAAAGCGATTTGTAGCTAGTCACTGCTGATGCATTTCTAAAAAGTGAATTTTCTGTGCATCGGGTCAAAGTTGTGCTACATCATTACTTTAGCATTTGCTTCTACTAATTGCTCCCCTTTAGAGGTTTGTAGTTAAGCCATAGAGATGAATAAAGAGTGATTGCTGCTGACCATCTTGTCTCTGACAAGATCTTTAAGTAAAGTAGAAATAAAACTCCACCACTTGAAAATACTGCCCTTTCTGAACCCTATTTGCACCCATAATGTATTTAAAGTTTTCAATCATGTTCCTCCTTCCCTGAAGACTTAGAAGGGAATTTATCAAAACTGGAGCAGACAGAATCTGGAGCAGCTGTGCATGGCAACCAATCAGCATCTCTCTTTCATTTTCAAATCTTAACTGAACAAACTGAAGAGAGAAGCTGATTGGTTACCATACACAGCTGCTCCAGATTTTGATGAATTTCCCCACGTGTATATTCAGTTTCTGCACTTTTGTTCTCTCTGTAGTTCTAGCCAACACTATACTCTCAATATTGTACTCTGTCACAGTATTCATTTCTTCTGCTGTGCATTTAGATACCTTTAAATCCGTTTTCAGATGTCAAGTGACCTCTGACCCATGACTCAAACTAAATACGGTTAAATAAGGTTGAAAATAAAAGTATAAAGTAAGTGTGCAGAATTAAAATCATGTCCATGGCAGAATTTCCATCACTCACCCTTCTTATAGGCACATCCCTGGCAGTAGTGAGACCCAGGCTGGTGGACAGAACTCTTGCAGATACGACATATGGCAAAGCGATGTTTTCCATATGGATCAAACCTTAAGACAACAGGAAAACAAGGTACATTGTGGAGTAATCACATTTTGTTTCATCAGATGTGCATTTAGAAAATAAGTGTTATGACAAATCTCAATAAACAGCAATCTCAGATATGTCTAGAGCCTGGGTAGGCCTGCGAATAAGGGCACCTCAATCATGCATGGGCACCTTTCCTTTACTTGAATAGAATACTTGTTACATCTCTTTAAAAGTCAGCTCACCAAAAGTGATGAAATGGTGACCGCTTGCTCTACTTTAGATGCTTAGTGAATCTTTTTTAGGACTACAACTGCCCTGGGCATTCTGACTGGCTGTAGCCAAAAGGATCGTTAACAGATGAAACGACATGCTTCCTTCTTCAAGTTCGGCACAATAGAGGACAACTATATTTGAATTAGGTTTTGGTGTTATTAGCACAAGGCTGTGTAAAGACAAGTCCAGAGCATAGGCAGAGCTCAAAGACACCCCATTCATGGCAAAGTGACAGGGTCTTTTTAAAGC